GACGCGAACAGTAACCGTCCACTCTGCTCGTTCACTATTATTGAATGGAACAGTCTGATATTGGAAAATATCATCGGTGGATTCTAATATATCGTCTTTCATCTCCTGAATAATACATTGTATTAATTCAGTCAATTCCATTTGCTGCTCATTAACAACCTTCATTAGACTATCATAAAGTTCGTTTTCTTTTTGCTGGGCGTATTGTATCCTTCTAGGAGTGATCTGTATTTTTCGTGCCATGTCAAATGCACTTAAAATAAATTTACGTAGACTGGTCGTGTGTATTTCATTCAAATAAGTACTTGCATTAATCAAATAGCTTTGCAAGCAGGCACGTGTAAAATGCAAAACGCGGTCCGTTTTTTTGCATGAATCCACTAGATCGCTTGAATTATTAACGTACTGCTCGCCGACAAGCCACGTTAATTGATGAACTTCCACAGACTCTTCCATTCCTAGGAATCCTAAACTGCTTAACTGATCCAGCCACGTTAGACCGAGTGAATTCATTTTGTCAATATTAATACTATCATCACTTTTCGACTCTTTAGACACGCTTGACACTTCCATCCGACTTTGCAGACTATGCTGCTCAGATTCAGTCAATTCTGCATCTATGCCATCTAGCAAAACATTAGCTAATGACGATATGAATAAAATTGGGTTATAAGGATAAGTCTCTTTCAAATCTCTCAATTCTTCCAAGTTTTCCTCAGTCAACGGTTGTTCTCCCAGAGCATAAAGAAAGATGGGTAAAATTTTCAATAGACCTTTAGCAAGAATTGTTACTACACCATTGTTGGGGACAACAAATATTTGAACACCTTCTTTCAATACTGCTTGATCTAACTTTACTTCGAGCACTGTGGGACAATTGATATCTTCGTTCATTGACTTTTCCAGATCTTCGAGAGGAAGTGTGCTCCATGATTTTTCGTTTGCCTTTAACGTCTCGACTACTTCATATTCTAAACCTAACGTGAGACTGACATGATTTGTATGACCATAAGTAATCTTGATCCATCTCCATGAATCATTAGACAGTGGTAAAATATCAGCAGAAAGCAAATTGTTGACCAGCGAAGCTTTGGCTTTATTGTCTTGTCCAAAAATAACTATTGCAGGGGAATTATTAAGAATGTGTGTCACTCTATCCAAGGTCAAAGGTGGCACCAATTCCTCGATAATATTTTCTACAAGAAATGTCGTATAAATATCATATATCTAAAGTTCATTAGCATAAGTATCATATAATTAGCATATATCTAAGATATCTTTATTAGCAATGTAATTTATATCAATTTAAAAAAAGTATCAAATATAGATAATTACCTCCAGGGAAAAAGTTTTCAAGTTTTATTACTTCTAACGTACGCTGCGTTTCCTCAAGTATATGTCGTAGCTGATTCCTGTTCCTCTGATATCTTTTAAATTCTTGTGGTAAATTGATTACCATTTTTCCCACGTTATTTCAGTCACGCGTACATTCCAAAAAATGGTCATACCCTATCAACATTATTATTACAGTTAATTAAACGTACAGAAATTATGTCCATCAATACATATTTATATAAAATCAGCCTCAAAGATATAAGTACTGTGACAATGTTAAACATTAGGTACGTATATATCAGTATATATTCCTCAAATTATGAATGAAACGTAATAGGTTATAACGTATGCATGCAAATTTATCACTTTTCGTCAGCGGCAATACATATATCTATGCTACGATCAGACGCAGATGTAAACAATGTTCTGAATCACGTCCAAGAATAATACTCGCGTTCACAAGACCGTTGAAAAATTCCAGCAATAATCAGATGAGGATTCCTCCCGGCAGCGACTGAATGACTTGTCATCGTTTCGCGGTCGGGACGAGCATTGTTTTTCCGCATGATCGAAACCGATGCTTAGCTCACCAGCATACGATCTCTCGCGGTCACAGTCATATGAGCGCGAGAAAAGGATCGCCTAGTCTTCACGCCCCGTCAAGTTCATCTGAGCGCAAGACAATCCGGACGATAGTCGCGGCGCTCACGCGAGATCGCCGCTTACCGCGTACCGAAACCAAAACATACGTCGTCGACGCATGCTGTCGACTGAAGACACTGAAGTGCGAACGCTTCCAGACCCTTCGAGATTACGAGCGAGCGAACATGCATGATGCATGCCATCAACGCGACGCGCTGTGCTCCCTCAGCTCTCTGTGCAGTCTGTGCTTTTGGCCACTCTTAGCAAAGAAAGCGCGAGGAGCTGCGCGATAAAGATGCATGTCCGCTTTAATTAATTAAACTATTTTTACGCATCCGTGCGATCCACCCGCATCGTATCTATAGGACGTCTTAATAGGAGCCGTTTATCAAAAGAATAAATATCTGTTGCAAAAGAGAGAAAAGCCTGCACGTGTCATCGTCAGTTGTTAAATTAGCTGAAATTCCATGGAAAATATAAAAAAAATCGAAGTAAAAAAACTTGGTGTCTTTCCCGGAAAAAAATTAGAGTGTATAAATAGAATGCACGTTTCTATTAATGTACATTTATTTTAATAATCTTAGTGTTTATCTGTTTCTAATCCTAAGAATTAGATAAAGATAAAGAATGAATTGAACCGAGATTAAGGTTAATCTACATTGATAAAAATAGACCTAATTGGTGAAGTAAGTTGAACATAAAAAGACAGTAACAGAAGTGCAAATAAAACTTATTCTAGGAGATAAAAATTGAGGACGCGAAATATAAAAGAAGCGTAAAAGCCTTTTTTACATTTTGTTGTCTCTCAATTTTGTCTCTTAAAAACTTCATTTTCTTGTACACTGAGAGAAAAGTATTTTTGATTATAATTGCATGTTAAAATAATGGAGTTAGGTACTCCATTTTTATATTATGTTATTATTGCTATAACATATTAGTATAATAATATAACTATTTATGTATATACAGTTCTCCCAAACATGAACAAATTTTATTATTTAAAATGATTTCAAAAATATTAATATAATAAAATATCTTAAGATACAAATGATGGTAAGTAAAATAATCATTTTTATTCAGTAAGTGGACTCGTAATTGTAATAAATACAACTATTTTCTTAAATATATTTACTATTCATATAATAATAACAGGTAAAAAAAATATGAAAAATCTAATGATTTTAAAGCAGTGCACATTATGTAATTATTATTAATTACAATTGATTATATTTGCGTAATTAAAATAATTATAAATATGTCATTGTCCTAAAAATAACTACAAATTATATATAGTAAGATTATGATAATTGCAATTATTTTTTTTCTCGTAGTGCATTCAACTTACACTCCGATTTTTATTTTTGCCACGAAATTTTGAATCAATGGTTCGTGACTGCAGTTGAAAAAATATCTCTCGATGAATACTTATCAGTAAAAACCGATTTAGAAGGATTATCCCGAACGAAATTCTATTATTCGGTCTGATTAATTATAACTTTATAATTACAAAATAATTCTTAGTCTCGCTCTCTCGATTCTATATGCTCCAAATATTTCATTATTAATGATTTAGATATATGTTTATTAAAATTTATAGCCTTACAAATATAAACACGCATATCATGTATATATAAATGTATAATCGATGACTTACGATAGCCGTTATCTTTTCGATGACTGCTCTTGGCGCGACTCCTCGGTCGCGATGTTGAAACTTTATTAAGACACAAACTATTCTCTCCCTCTTCATCGTCCGATTGACTGAATATTTCTATCCGATTAGGTTTACCACCATCGTCACTGCTTAAATATTCATTTAGAAATACTTTCATGTATTGCTAAATGCGAACATGTCAATATAAACCTTCGTTTCAGTTGGACTGGTGGGACAATGTACCGTTCCGTTAATTATGTATGCGTTAGCGTCACTCGTCGCGATTAGGGATAAGTACAAACCAAGAAAGGAGAACGTAAACAAGACTCCCTCATTCGTACAGATAATGCTACGAGGCGGCGATATACTCTTTGCGTTCTTTTATAAAAAGAAATTGAGCCTGCTGTATAGACTTCTACGCTAATCTTCCTGCTCTATTAAACTCCTTTTTCCAAATCAATTCATAAGCGAAATCTGAAAATAAAAGATAAAAAATAAATGTTTTTAGAGAAAAGTTGCCAGTTGTGCAAATCTACTTGGATAGACACAGAAGCGCTGTTGCAATTAAAAGCCGTTCTGTTTGGATAACTTCAATCAAAGTTTGAGTAATTTAATCGGTGATTAATTAACAATTGGCATGCGGCGAAATTTCTAGTTACATCTCTGACGAAAATAAAAATCGAAGGGTAAGTCGAATGTAAAGAGAAAGTAAAAACGTAATGAAATTTCTTGCCTCTTAAAAAGCTTCGTTTATGCTTTTGTTCTGTTATACATTTGACTTACACTCCGAATTCTTTTTTCGTCAGGGATAACACATAATTCGTCGTCGCTAATTTTTTTTTACGCATCAAACTATAAAAAAATGATTATAGAAACCGATCAAAATCTACCATAACGTTAATCAGATAAACATAATATATATTTTTTTATTACAAAACGATAGACTCTGCTCGATTTCTGCTGCGGCTATCTGCTACAAAAAATTATTCACTCTGACTTATAACTACTTCTTGACAAATAAATCTTCAATCAAGTTAATGGAAGTTTTGATATATCGACGTCAACTCCTATGAAATATTTCACTTATACAAACGTCGTTAGTCCATTTTTTATTTTGTTCTGGCACAGCAATTTATATAAAATTTCATTTTTTATTTTTATTGTATAATAAAAATTCATGTAAAATTTATTCTCAAATTTACTTCTTAAGAACATTTATTTCTCAAGAACATGTGCATTTCACGTAAAGTAATCGAGCTTCGCAAATACGCAAAATAAAGCAACATATATACACAGACATAAAAAAATGAAGCGAAAAATATCGCGAACCAGACGTAATCGTGAATCATTCACGCTTCATTTCGCCCGAGAGATTCCAGTAAAATCTGCTTGATAAAATTATTTTGTTTTCATTACGTCGTACATGTATATACATCTATTGATCTGACGAATAATCGTCCCGACCTTCGTGGAAATCTCCATTATGTTATCAATCATTTCGAATACTCGCGCGCTGTCGATAGGATCTCATGGAAACGGCCTTTCACCCTTTTAAAACATAACCAAACATAACCTCTGAAATTGCGCGAACCCGCCATATTTTTCCTAAACAGACAATCACGCGATTTTAACGGTTCTTATCGTTTCTCATTAAAGTAGAGCGATTCTTTTGCAGTTTATCAGTCTTATTTCTAATTAAGTGAAATGACATCGGTTTTGGAATCTATGGTAGTCGACGAGAAACAGCTCCCTGAGAAGCCGGTAGACAGAGAAAAGGTAAACGCGGAGAGATGATAACAAGTGTTTTCCAGAAATGTTTTTCTTGTGGATTTGAGTGCTTTTTTTTTTAATCGTAAATGCGATAATATTACACTTGCTTACATTTCAGACATGTCCGCTTCTACTGCGAGTATTCTGCAACACCGGACGTCATCATAACATAATGGAATATAGTAGAGGGAATGTGCCTTCAAATGAGCTGCAGATATATACATGGTAATATTATCATTATTTATAACGGAGAGATTCTATCTTATTAAAATTCTTAATAATTTGATATAAACTCTAAGATTAATCTTCAATGTGCTCATTGCTTTCTGTTTCTTGTTTTTTATCACTTTGTCTTTTTCCCTCTTATCCCATTTTCTTCTGTCATCTGTGATAAAAGTTGATAAAATTCGAAAAAGTTAAGCAATACGTAACAAAAAACATATGATTAGGGATAAAATAATTGTAAAGATTGAAAAGAGCAAGAGATAAAGAGAAAGGAAGCAAAGAACATATTATAGGTTAGCCTTTATATGAGAAGTCATCTCTAATTTTAATTATTTCTCTGTATGAAGGATGGATGCAACCTTGCGAGAAATTACAGGCTTGGTTAAGGAAGTGAATCCGGACGCTCGCAGCAAGGGAACATACTTTGATTTTTCATTAGTGACTCCTGAATTACGTACTTCTGGTTATCGCATGCGTGAGATTGGTGTTACATGTTCTGGACAGAAAGGTGCAGACGATAACAAAACTCTAGCCCAGGCAAGGTAATATAAATTTCAATTAGAAAGTTGATTCTTTTTTTTTTATAAGCATTTACATATTATCATGTATGTGTTTTGTACAATTACAGATTCACAATAGGAGATTATCTTGATATATCAATAACACCGCCGAATAGAATGATGCAACCAGCAGTTAGACGTGGTGGTTTACGTCAATATTAATTTAACAAGTATTTTAGTTTCAACAAGAATATTTCTTTTATAAGTAAAATAAAACATATATTCTTACTGAAGATTTTCCAAACTTTTGTATTTATAAATCGGAGCTGTCCAGAATAGCTACTTTTACTTTGAAATTGAAATGTATAAATATTCATGTCTAGTACTGTTCCTGTCCCTCACTTTATTGCTGTTTTGTCATAATATGCGACACTCGATCTCAGAGACATTAGTCTTGAGAAATTGTTAAAAGTTTTTTACCTGTATCATTCATTATGTTTAAAAATATTCTGTTGCTAATATTATGATATATTATCATTCATAATATATTCAATTACGAAAATACATGAATTTTATATACAGGATATATGTACAAAAATCTCAGACTTCTTAATTATCTGGAAAAATAAACATTTCTAAGAAAAATGTTTCATACAAAAGTTGTAAAGTTTGAAATGATCTATTTACTAATCTTATCATTTTGATCTTACCAGTTTTTTTTATGGCGTCACCGAGGTCAGGTCAAATCGATTTTTTTTTTATAAAACGCATTTTTTATTTCGATGTCGAGAGCTTTTCAAAGTACTATAATAAAGTCTCTTTTTCAATCGGTATTTTTCGAGTTATGTGAGACTTGAAAGATAAGTTTTAAATATAAGATTTCTAAAGCTAGTATTCATAATCGATTCTATACTTAAGACTGTCTTAAATGCTATCTTAAGATGTCACGAATCAATCAGAGTTTGTAGTTTGTACACCAGTATTTGGACGATATTCATAATTCGTTCTTATTTTAAAGTCATTTTAAGTAATGTCTTGAGATGCTAATACGGCTGTCTGATTGGTTCATGATATCTTAAGATTGTATTTAAGACGGTCTTATAAAATAAAAATGGACTATGAATACCACCCTAAAATAGTTTTAACTGTAATAATCAATTATGAATATCAACTTAATTTTTGACTTTCAACTACCTTCAGTTCAAACGCGCCGTGCGTGGCGCGCTTGTCCGATCGCCATGACAGTTTTGAGCGCGTCGGTTCCAAATGCGGACGGAGCACGAATTCTCCGCAATAAACCGCGAATTTTACTCATTAAAAGTGCATTGATGTGTCGGAATTTGCTAAAGGAAATCTGCCTGCAATATCGTGGCCTTAGATGCTCGTCCATTGACAAATCTGCCATAGTGTGTACATGATAAAACGGACGAGTGCAGTTTTATACATCCGCCGTGTAACAAAGTGAATTCTACCTCGTATTTTCGCGTATCGCGGAGTAGAGTCGCGATTTTTGTGTTCCTTCGAAAAGAAATCATGCGATCAACTTTCGAAGTTTGTGCAATAGCGATTAAATACTGATCGTACTTCCTCGGTTCATTTCCTCGACGAAGCTACTGATGTGCAGCATTCCTAACAAAAGTGAAGTTTGCGATGAGTTAACGGAGCAAACTGCAAATCCTGCATCGCTCTTCGCTGGTGAGTGAAATTGATTCGTAAAAATGAAATTGGGTGAAGCAATAACCTCTTTCAGTAACCTTGACCTTGACGTTTATTATTAGAAGGCTGTGACCCTAAGTTACGTTTAACCAGTCGCGTTTCTTATTAAAAAGTTATTAGTAAAATAAGTTTTAAGAAATATAAAAGGTAAACGCTATTTCAAAAGGATTGTTACATATTTTATCCTTTACTTTTAAAACAAGTATATATAAAAATTTGCAAACGCAAGATCAAAAATAGATTTAGCAAAAGTAGATATAAATCAATTAAAGCAGAGAATATATAAGTATAAAGTTTAGATCACGAAATATTCTCTGTTATAATTAAATTATGATTTTAGTGGATTTCATGTATCCATTAAAAAGTTAATTAAAATTATTTGTATACGAATTGTGTGATTACATTTTATTTCTTCTAATATTATTAATTTCATTGAATATAGTATTGTGTGAATATGACTCCGCCCTTTCCAGTAGGTTCGCTAGTGTCATTGCTTACGCGTGTACATTAAAATGTCAATACTTGTATTGGATAGTACTTTGTGTCAGCTGTCAAACGCAGTGTGTGACATACGGTTGAAGCGTAAACAACAAGTATTTTTATCGCATTGAAAATGTCGGGTTTTATTCCAAATAAACATCATTTGCGGGAAGTTTTATTGCACAATAGTATATTTCTCAAAACTTATTTTTTTAATAAAAAATAACCTCAAAAATGATTGATTAAAAATTCCTCAAGGATTCAATTGCAACTATTTATTATATTTGAAAAATTATGGATTTTGTGAAAAAATTATTTATATTATTAAATATTATTAAAATATTTAATTATAAGCAATAAATTAATCGAAATTTAAAGATCAATGGTGATTAATCAAGGTATGTTAAATGGTAATTTAAATGTTTAAATTTTGTTAACGTCGATAATATATTATCCGATTTATACGATAGTTGGTAAAAGAGATTTCTATTGCGTAAATTTACGCATAAGTTTTTCATTCCATCAGTAAATAAAATGGAAATGAAGAATTAACTTTGAATTAATTGTAGGTAATTATACAAATTTTGATGTGTCTTCTAAAAATACAAAATTATTAAGACAAAATTGATAAATTTAATGTAAACAGAAACAAGAACTGACAAATATCTTTGATAAATCAATATTTATGTTTTAAATTACCATTTAAGATTAATTGAATGCATCATATGAAGTTTAAATCTGTTATACAAAAGCTCTTGAAAATTAAACATATTTTATCCTATCATTAGATTGGTACTATTGGATAGCTGGATCTATCATTTATTTTAATTTACTATATTAAAATGAAACATTTTGTTGCAGTATCATATTTTTAAATAATTATATTTAGTATTTTATTTCAAGAACTTTTTTTTTAGAAATATTTTATATAATTCAAAATGTTTATTCTGCTTTGTTTATTAAAAAGTATGTGTTACAATCACTACAATGTCATTATTGATTAGAAAATCAAATTTACAAATATATACATTTTCTTTATCTTTTTTAAATAAAATATTATATATATTTTACAAATTAAAAAGTATTTCGGAAGATATATCTGAGATACGATGTTGTCACTAAATATTTCTTTATCTGATCGAATTAAATCTCCTGGCAAGATTATCAAGAATATCATATTATGTAGCATTCTGATATTGGCCATTTTCACTGGCATGTTGAACGAATGAATAAAAGGGATGTAAAAAGTGATGACCGTATATTTAAATCTTGTTTGTAGACGTTGCGTACCAACAAAAAATCAGAAAAAGCAATAGGAGTGTAGGGGTTGATATGTCAGATTAAGCATTTGTAACTGACAAGAGCATACGCTCCTCTCAAGAAATTTCGTTTGCGTGTAATATTGTAACGTTACAATATCATATATTATATGGCCAGAAAATAATATAATTTAAAATATTGTCAATTAAAATAAAATTTATAAATTGAATATTAATTTATTAATATTTTATGTAAAGTCATTGTCTGATATAAATAAATATCTGCATAGGTTAAGGCCCGGTTGCATCAACATTACTATAATTTTAAGCGAAGCTTAAAACTCTTTTTCCTGTCGCTTTTCGATTTTAAAACGAGATAGAAAGAGTTTCGCTTAAAATCAAAGTAATGTTGGCAACCGGGCCTAAAATTGTTAGAACGTTTCAAAGAATAATTAATAAACTGATAAAATTAATGGAATTAATTTGTTAATATGCTTTATGCGTTGTTGAAAGAAAAGTTACTGGCATATTTATAAAATATTATAAATCCCAAAAATATTTTCCTTCTCATGTATCATGTATAGTTATATAGTGCAGTACAAGAATGTAAACTAAATTTGTTACTATATATTTTTATTATGAAAACTCAAGCTTTTTGCATACAAAAAAGTATGAAATATTAAAAAATAGATGCATTTAAGGTTTGAGTAAATATTGATCCGGCGTTTACGTTTCGAAAAGATTGTTCTACTTAAAATGACTAAATTGTATTTTGGTTAATAACAATGTTTAATAATTTTTTGTTTAGTAACAATTATGAATTGTCGGGAGTTTAAATTTATCAAATTCAACCTGATTCTTCATTATGTATTCGTAGGGAAAGATATATTTTGTACACATTAGGCAGTTTCTACATCGGTTATTGTTGGCGCTTGTAAAGTGGGAGAAGCACAAAACGGCGGAAAGATTGTGGGGTGGCTTCTTACCGCAATCACCTGCGGCTATTTTAAAGACACTTCCACTTTAATTATACCAAACCGCTCTTGCGATATTATGATATTATGATATTACGAAGCATAAGCCGGGTCCCGGAGATTTAGGGTCGCGGAAAGTTTAAACTGTGCACACCCCAAAAACCCATCCCGGTCCTACCGTTACGATTTCTCCTCGACCGTTATCTAACTTCGACGATAGCGTTACTATCGTTTTCGTTTTCCAGTATTGCTGGAAAATACCTAACCTACCTCTCCCCTGAGTAAATATATAAGACGTTACTGCTGGGGCGATAATACGGAATATTTAACGTAGCAGTGCAATATTCTTCTATTGTACAATAATATTATGTATATGCTGTGCTAAATATAAAACATATAAAAATTTGATTCATTAATTGTAATATATTAAAATTATATTATATGGTTCAAATTAAATCCCAATTTATTTCAAATTAAAGATATTTTATCAGATTTGCTATAATTGGGAAAAACGTCGCAACAAATATATAAATTATATAATATTACAATTAAATATTATTATTTTATTATCCAATAATATTATCATATATCAAGAAGCGAGTCTAACATAATATTCATAATATCTTTATATCACAAAGCTTAATATTCTTTTTCGACGGATGTACTAATAATAGCATATTATCACATCAGACTTGCTACCGTAAAATACGCGCTATGTCGTACAAAAAAATTTTAATGAGAAAGTAAAGTTTAAAGCACTGGGGAGATCTATAGAGACGGTAGAGTGGATTTGGCGTGCATTAAGGGCCGCACCTT